TGCTTGCCCGCGCCATATTCACTATGTGATGACAACGAGGCAAGAAATCCTCAATATGATCCATCTGAGTCTGATGTTCCTCTAGAATCTCCTGATGAGCAGGTCTCAGCAGATCTCCTGGAACATTCGACACCATGTACGGATGTGAGATCCTGAAGAATCACCTGATGTATTCGTCGACGTAGCTCCAATCATTTGGCGTTATGATAGCTCGAGCCTCATCCGGTACCAAATGACTCTGATAATCAACAAACATCTCATCTATCTGTATACGAGTCAAGGCCGAAGGTACAAAGACAACAGGGTGTTTAGGGATGGTCTGGATGTACCCGAACTGCTACATGACGCGCTCGGAAAGATGAGGAGCAGTGACCGTCGACGAGCAGGCCAGCCATCCGGAGTATAGCAATATGTCGTCAAATGGCCACATCTGGCGGTGATCCACATAGCAGTTAAAATGGATGTCCTCAGCAACCAAGCGGTCAAGATAGACTCTGAAAGGCTTGACCGCCTGGTTCCCTCTTAGCGGGATAAAACCACAGGCATGAGGCATCTCCTTAGTGTAATCATTCCAACACGACCAGCCAGTGATGCGTGGGAAGTGCTGGAGGATCCAAGCCTGAAATGAAAATAAAAAAGCATTCAAGGATCAAGAATTATCGCAAATATGAAATGAAAAAGATAAAAAAACAATCAAGGATAAAAAATGATTATCACCAGTAGGGTCGTGTTGCTTGTGGTCTGCCTCGTCATCCACCAACATCCATCTCTCAACTTCGAATACAGATAGGCCAAGCAAGATGCCCCCTAGTTGTACTCATGGATCCGTGTGAGATTCAAGAAGTACCAGAGGTATGCAACGCCAACATAGGTGGCACTCGTGTCTACAAAAAGCACAGTGCCAAATAAAAATAGAAAATAACACCTCAAAGCATGACTTATGTGGATCTCCACCTCCTGGGCATCACCATCAGCCTACGCTGCAGCAACGAGCACCTTATCAAATCTCTCCTTCAAGAACAAAAACCTAACATGAGCACCCCTAATCCTATCCACCTCCCTCAACGCCTTCACTGGATCAGCCCCCAGATGCTCCACCATAATATCGACTGCCTTGTCTTTGGTCATCCTACCATGATGGAGGAATCTCCCTTTAATCGATAGATGCAACAAACACGAAACATCGTCTAGTGTAATTGACATCTCACCGTGCGGAAGATGAAAGGAAGAGGTTTTAGAGTGTCATCGCTTCACGAATGCATTAAGCATCCCGTGGTTGACCAAAGTGTAATTGGTCAAGCATAGGTCACTTAACTCAGAAACGGTGAGAACCGACTGAAACCACTCCACATCAGGTTGATGCAATGCTAAATCTTCTGCCCATGGTCAGAAACGTTTGGGGATCACGCACCTCCAAATTTCCAAAAATAATCAATGTCAGAAAAACTCAATGTTAGAAATAATCAATGTCAACAATTTAAATTAATGTAAAAAATATAGTAACAATGCGACTAATGTTACCTCGTCGTCCCAGATATGTCTGGCAGTGTGGTTTGAGCATAAAGGAAGTAGGGAAATATCAGATGGATCCCCTCCGAAAGCCTCTGCCTCGGCATCAGCAACATCACCCTCCGGAGGTGGCACCGATGCATCCCGATCAGCAGGTGCGATCGAGTCAACAGGAGGTGGCACTAGATGAACAAGAGGTGCCACAGATGCATCCTGCCTCCTGCGGGAGGATGGAGGAAGTGACGCGACAGGTGGTGCATTCTGTTGTCTGCGGGAAAAAGATGAAGAAGATGGAGTGGACTGAGACGTAGATGGAATGACTTGGATGTAGTTAGAGTGGCCTGAGATATAGATATAGTGACCTGAGGTGGAGGCTGAACCACATGAGTAGAGTGATCCTCAAGAGTAGACTGTACACCAGCAGTCGATGCCTCTCCCTGACCAGAGGTACATGCTGCATTCGGACCTGGCTAGCTCCGCTCTCTTCTAATGGATGCGTGTTAAGCAACCCGTCCACGCCTCAATCTGCCGGCTCTATCAGCCATTATGTATGTAAGATATAATATAATTAATCGTACAATGAGTTTGCGTAATAAGAAAAATTATAAATAAAAAAAAATCAGACTAAAAAATTCTGGAGATACATCTCCAAAAACATTAAACATCTCATGTACTCTGGTAGCTCCGAAGATATAACTACGGAAACATTCTGCATATGTATCTCCAAATCACCTAAAGTACATGAAACGTTGAATATTTTCGTAGATGCATCTCCGGAACATTCTGCAACTCAGAGGGCGTGTCAGTGGCATCCTCTACCCCTCAGATCACAAATTTGAAGCCCTGGTCGTCCATTTGAGCCAACAAACAATACATGCAATTACTCTAAACTATGTTTCATCTAATTTCTAAACATTTCGACACCTAACAATTGATTCTAACTCAAATACAACAAAACTCGAATATTTATCGAAAATTCGATAAACTTATCCAAATTATATGATTTAGAAGATGTTGAATGATGCACTGAATGTAGATTGATGATTACTTGAGGCTCGGACGAAAGAAATCAAATTTGGTGAAGTTTGGAAATGAGAGAGATGAAGAGATTTGTGAAGAGAAATGAAAAAGTGTGGGAGTAGAATAGTCTGACGCAACAATATGTTTCAAATTGTTTCGGAGATATATTTGTTGCTTCCAAAAATATATTTTTGGAAATTTTTTAGAGATATATTTTCAAAATAAATTTATTTATAAAAATTGAGGTGTAACTAAAAACGAATGAAATGTATATATTAGAGTGCGTCTAAAAATATATCTTCGAAAACGAAAAATATTTTTAAAAATCCGCATAAACACATAGGTACAATAAGAAACCCGACGTATAAATGTCCAGAGTTTCCCAAAGGGTGAGGCGCTTCTAATGTAGTAGCTTCAGACCATATTTGGTGTAATTGGTGTACATACACTTGATTGACCGAAGGAAAAAAAGTTAGTTGCTGCAGGTGCTTATATTGAGTCGAAATTAATGCACTTTAGTTTAGAAGATCGCTCGAGAATGTTCTTCACTTGCTAATATCCATTTCGATCGGAGATAGGAATGACATGATAACTAAAGTTATTGATGATGTTGTCCAACATATTTCCGAGCATAATTTACATTATAGAAGCTATCTGATATTATACTATGGAGAGCATTACCAATAGTATAAACATACAATTTCATTGCACTTTACAATTTTTTTAGCCAATTGTTTAACCTAGAATTAATTTATCCTCCTCATCTAAGTGAGTTTGGTTTCAAAGGCTCACTGCACCTGTACATGATTTTGGCTTTCAAACAATTGTAATCTTTCTCTTTTAACACTTATTACGAGCACCTACCCCATATTTATGTTAGTACTTGACATTATTGTTACTGGAAACTTTCAATTTCACATTCAACAATTGGTTTTAAATATGAATACTCAGTTCTCCTCACTAAAACATCTAGGAGACCTTGACTATTTTGGACTACATTCAAAAGAAATTCCAACAAGACTACATTCAGAAGAATTTTGATTCACTGTAAATAAAGCATGTCAATTTTTCTCTCAACATTTTGAAATCCATTGGACTATATTCAAAAGAATTCTAAGATATCTTAGAGGTACTTTTTATCATGAATTGTTGCTCAATCCAGCTGCACCTTCGAAACCACTATTCATTACTGCATTCTTTGATGTTGATTGGGGAGCTGATCTAGATGATAGGAAGGCCACGTCACGGTTTTGTATATATCTTAGATCAAATATTGTTCATGGTGATCTGAGAAACAAATCTAGTGGCTAGGTCTGCACTAAGATGTTTGGCAATGGCTAACATAACAGTAGAGGTTCTTCGGCTACCATCTCTTCTACTACTCATCCTATTTTGTGACAATTTTAACATGGTGGCTTTGTCCCACAATCCATTTTTATTTGCCAAAACAAAATATATGGAACTGATATCTTTTTTAGAGAGAGAATGATTGATAAGACCCTGTTAGTTCAACACATATCAGCTACAAATCAATATGTAGCTATGGTGACGAAACCTATTTCTTCTCTAGGATTCCTAGCTCTATTCTCAGATTCCTAACCCTAGGGGACAAACTCAGAGGTGTTAGCAAGAGTACTCTCTCATATAGACATTCTCCTAGATTTGGTGAAATATTAGAGTAGATACACATAGTGTATTAGCAATACATGTAATCGTTTTGTTTGAAAGAGGATTTGCTACTTTTGGTTATTGATGCCTACCATTGATGTATTTTGGTCCTTCAAAGAGATGAGTGAAACTTAGCCCATAGACTTCATCTATAGGAAGGAAGGAGGTACTTGGGTTGTTTTTTCTCACAAGGGATTGAACCATAAATATCTACCAAATGATATCCTTGTATACAATCTAACTTTAAACTAGATCAATCTCATTTAATGCATTTTATTACTATTTACACAAAAAATTTACAACACAATAATAGATTCGATAAAGATAAGCACAATACGTGGTGTCTCCTCAATAAAGACCAACTTGTTTGAGATACCTGCTACAAACTGCATGATTAAAAGCAAATAACATGCTACCGAAAATGGCAATAATACAAGTAAAGAAGGCAAAATGGTAAAATCTGAATGCAACATCCATATCACAATATTATATAAGCAAAAAGCAAAACTTGGCGCCTAATATCAAATTTTAGCAAAGGTTATGCAAATGAACAAACTAAATTTCCAATAAACTACTAGTCCCCAAGACACTAACCAAAAACACATAGAATACAGTTTGTTTTTCAAAGTTGTTACAATTGACCATGTAGATAAGAAAACAATAACACGCAACTGAAGAAAGTAGCGTGCCGTCAACGTCCAGTAGCAAGTCTACACAGATCAATGGTAACAGACGAACCAATCCTTACATAAAGTTGTATGTTCTTCACTTCACAAAAGCAAGAAATGAGAAGCAGATATGAATCACAACATTTCCTGTGACTTCCGCACACATCGGCTAACCTTTTTCTTGAAATCGTCCCTCCTGTCTCTCCACTCCTTCTGCAAATATGAACATCACACGAGTCTAAGAAAAACTTCAAAACAATACTCCAACTGTCGAGATTGAAGCAATTTAAAACACATTAATTAAGATATTATTAACAACAATGTGTATTTCTAGGAGTGTTTTCCTTCCAGAATAAAAAAATTACAGGATAATATGTTAAATCCTCCAGTACTCAAACAAATGACACTGTAGAATATGTTCAATCCTTGACAGCAGTGTTGTCAAATTTCCGCCTTGGAGTTATAGCCTGGAAGACTTTGTGCCACCCTCCACAGGCCGCAGCCCCTATCACGCAATGTTTCTGCCATAGGCTGCAGCACCGTGTTAATATTGCAGATTTTTGGTTGGCCAGCATAATCAGCCATTCCTCATTGATATTCCTAGGTAGTAGGACAAACCATATTTTTATTTTGGATCAAATGGGGTATCAAAAAAGTCATCTGGCCAGGTTGAGGTCGAACAGAAACAGTGCGCAGTAAAGATTGACATCCTAAAACTAACTTTTATCATGTCAGATAATGCCAACATGTAGGCATGGCAATCTCATCCTACACATTAGTATTCAGCATGCTGCAACCTGCTCGGGAAGATGTAAAGCTGTCCTTACAATGAAACAGTGTAGTGCTGCAGGACAGAGGGTATTCACCGGTCTCGCTACTACAAAAGTAATGCTATAATTGAGACCTTTGTCGCACCAACACCTCTGAACAAAGAAGTGTATGGTGTCCAACACCGACACAACACTGACACGTATGATTGCACTCAATTTATTCATTTTTCCAATTATTGCCGGTGTTGACGTGTCAGTGTCGGTGGCCGCGTCGGATCAGTGCTTCATAGATTGAGACTAAATTTTTTTTATTGATTATTTCCTTCCAAATGTTATAATTGAGGCTGAGCTTTTCTGATTGTTTATTTCCTTCAAAATGCACACCATATATGGTGACAATTGGACTTCGAACCTAATGCTACAAATCTCTAGCCAAATGTAGGAAGGGATCCCAGTACAAATGCCTGACTGGAAGGAATCTTAAAACAGAAAAGAAAAATCTCAGCAGAAATTGAATTTTAAGGAAACTAAAAAAAAAAATAGGCAAAGGAAGTGTGCTTTTATTCAGGCAACTAGTAGTGACCATTGTAGCCAAGATTACGCCTATCAGTATGATCAGGCCTAATCTTTTCTAGTTTAACACAATTTTTAAACATGTCTTATAAATTATGAAATGATGGATTAGTTATAACATTATGGTTTATATAAATATATTTAAAAAGACCCTTATAATTTTTTTTATAGAAAGTATTTGTGGTGGAAGTTAGTTAGGATGAGCAGGGTGTGGTTTTAATATTATCTAGTGGGACTAGGTTGGATTCTCATCCCGAAATGAAACTTGTGGGGTAGATAGAAGTGTTAGGTGTTTTCTTGAAGTGTGCGGCAGAGTTGTATGGAGCAAAACCCTGTCCCTACTTGCCTCATTGCCAAGCCATCTGACATGCTAAGAGAAAAACATTCTCATATTTTTCTTCTGTGCTTCATAACTCCACTTACAAAAATTGTGTTTCATTTAAACCTAATGTAGCATGTGTGTAGTGCCTAAACTATGATATTGATATTACTTTTCAGTTGTATTTAATCACTCATAAAATTCACCTTTTCTAAAGATTGAATTTATCTCACTTTGTTATCTACTTAATTATCAGAGAAGCATGATACTATATATGCTTGTATAATATGCAGTTCCACATCTCGCTCTTTACATGTCATAGCTATTATCAATGTACACTAGAACTTAATTCTATTAACATGCCATAGCTATTATCAATGTACACTAGAACTTAATTCTATTAAATACTCAATCTTAAGAAAGTATCTACGAAAATATTTGGAGAATGTGCAGCAAGAAACCAATCTAAGGACAAAAGTTTGTTTTACTAGTATATATATATAACATAACAAAGTTGGTAAAACTACAAACTCGCGCGATTGTCAAGATAAATATCAGTTTGTCATTTCTTCTCATGCATATATAAGTATACAGAAATAAGTGTGGTGGAGATTACAATAAAAAAATCATGTAAATAAGACAAATTGTCAAACTTACCGCAGCTTCAACATTGGCAGGAGATTCATCATTGGGACCAGAAAGCATCGATATGATACTCAACACTATACTCTCTACCTGCAAGACATCACACAATATTTATTCATAAGAAAGTAAGCAGGTTCGAAAAGAGTTACAAGTAGCAAGTATGTCAAATCACTCATGATTGACAACAAGTGACATACCATTTCCAAAGGACATTCAGCAAGTTATCATTAATGCTTTACCAACATTGAAATTACTAATGTTTAAATTAGCTTTATGACATTAAATACTATTTTTCTCTTTCAAGCAAATACCAATGTCAGCTATCCTTCAACTTATATCAGATCTAGGTTATACCAGACTCGTTTACTAAATAACCTAAGCCATGGCTTTTTATAGTATTTAGCTTAAAAAATCAGACAGAGACCATTCAAATAGCCTTTAAGGCTAACAAATCAGTCTATTAAAGATTTTAAGCATGTCAGCTTACTTATGAAGTTGAGCCTATAAGTTTATTTAGTGATAGCTTTATGACTTATTTAAAAGACATAATACAAAATAGGTTTTCAAAGAGGCTTTCAAATCGCGCGGGCTTTTACAAAGGCAAAGCCAGTAGCCAGGTCTGAAACAATAAATTTATAGAGGGTAAACATATCAGAATCAGAGGCTCGTGTATTAGAAAAAATGACCCAAGTGTTGTCAATTGCAGATCACAAGTAAATAGTGGTTTGTTCAAATTATACTACCCAATGCAACTGTGCTATAGTGCCGCTAATTCATAATATTTTTTACTTAATAGCATATCACGGAGAAATAGTGTTTTGTACAAATTCCGCTATTAAATAGCATTATAGCGTTTTGTAGAAATAGCAGTACTTGATAATACAGACCAATTCCACCTGAATCAAACAAAAGCATGTTGAAGAAATACTAGACACTACTAATATGTATTTCTATTATCAAGTTGATTTAGTCGGCAATGTTAATGCAGAATCACCAATCGAATAATGAAAAGCAGAATTATCATTATTGAAATAAAGTAAATGAATCTATGGTTTTATGTTTTCACATACAGTATGAACAGGTGTCCAGCGCTCACTTGCAAGCTCATAACCATTTGGGTCCTCACCAGGTGGATGAAGAATAGATATGCAAACCCGCCCATCAGGATATACTGCAAATAGAAACATCATTCGACTTCGTGTTTTAACCAAAGCAACATCAAAAATGAGAAAAACATATGATGCACGGACACAGCAATACAGTCTTCCTTAAAAAAGATAGGATGTTAATGTGATATGAGCATGATTTTAAATTGCACTCCGCAACCACAATTGCGGCAGCAATATTGCCGATGCGGTAGTCTCTGCAACGGCATCAGATTCAGGCCGCAATTGCGGTGTAAATTAAAATTATGCAAATGATCGCATCAAAAATCATATTAGACGATTTCAACACGTTTCAACTATGTATTTCAAATAACTCTTAATAAGTATTCATGTCGCAATACGCATTGCAGCAACCACAACCTTAATAGTTGCAATTGTAACACCCGCAACCGCATCCGCGACCACAATCGCAATTTAAAACCATGGATATGAGTATTGGATCCGAGATGTATAGAGTACGACACACACAAGACTTTCACATATTTGTGCATCAGAGAAAAAAACAAACCATTAGGATGCCATATCTCTGAGGTGAACTTCACAGATGGTGGACTGTTAGGGTAGTTCTGCGGAAAGCTCATAATGGCATTGAAAAATCCTCCCTCACTACAAGGAATTTAAAGAATTCACAAACAAATAAGCTGAGTGATCTCAGAAAGTAAACAAAATTAAAATACTAAAATCTAAAAGCAATCTAATCTAATAAGAGTAAGTAAATCAAAGATTAGAGCATTTATCTTAATACAAGAACAAAAAGCAAAGCTACAGCTAACGAAAAACCCTAGCATAATCAGAACAATCAATTAACCAGTACAGTATAATGATTTGCAGCTGAGAAGCCAAGCCACATTGAAAATAAATATAATCTGTATTCTTTTTTCCATCATCATCAGTTATTTTACTTGCTATTCAGTTCAATCCTCATGAAACTAATATCATCACCACATAAAACAAAAAACGAAATACGAATCACAAACACAAGCAATTCAAGCAAATTTCAAAAACCTTACAAGATCTTTATAGGGAAAACCAAAACCCTTACACAGAGAATCAAACAAATCAAAACTAAAAACCTAAGTAACAATTGAAAATCATATAATCAATCTAGCGATATAAAAGAGCTTACTAAAGAGTATCAGGCGGTCCAATTATGGTTACACTCCATTCAAAAATGTTGGTTTCGTCGACCAAACCAGCGGAAAAGCCATCGACGGGGTGTTTGCAAAGATCTGCAACAAAACCGAGGTTAATCAGAACACAGCGGAAAATTGACGCGAAAAAACGGTGAAAAGAACGGGAAGTTGATTACCTTTGAGCTGCTTCTGAAGGAGGAGGCTTGCTTGCGACGCCATGGAAGCGAAAGAGAGTTTTGAGAGTTGGAGGAGGGTTTGGTTGCTTGTGAGATTGTGAACAAACAAACCAGAAAGAGAAGTTCTAAAGCCCACACTTTGATTCTTTGTATTGTATCATTCAATTATTATTATTTTATTATTATTATAAAACTGTTTAATTATAGGATTTAAGTGAATATTTTTTTATGCTATTCATCAATTGTGTGGAGTTAGTTTCTAGAAAATATTTTTCTTACCCTATAAGATTCTTTTTTTTTAATGCTTTTTTAATTTTAATATTTTTTTACGAAAATATTCTATTATATTTCTTAGTAGAATATATAAATTTATTATTAAATGTAGAGGTAATTATGTAAAACAAAAACATATTTTTTCAAACTTATTGCTAGAGTAAAAATTTAATATGCTTATAATTTTTAGATATTTATAATAAGTGATAGAAGTAGTAGTATATTTTCTAAAACTCTTAATTATAATTATCAATTTCTTTTAAAATGTGATTTTGATCATGATTGAATTTAGTGTTATATATACAAATCATATAAAAATGTTTTATAAATATTTAATACAATTATTATAAATAAACATATCTTAAAAAAATTTATAAACTGATTAACAAAATTGGCGTGAATTTATTTGATTTATCTGATATTTATAAATATATATATATATATATATATATATATATATATATATATATATATATATATATATATAATATTTGTGTGTGTGTTTGGTGTGTATATATATTAAATAATAATTTTTTTCATATTCAATGTATAAAAAATTAATATTTGACCATTTATAGTAAAATTTATTGTTAGTATATAGGAGTATGTGTGTGTATATATATATTTTTATTGTTTTGGACTGACCGAGACTTGTTCTTCAGTTAGTCATGTCTAACCCAATATCACGATGGAGAGCCCCAACAAGGTCCAAGACTCCCCTGTCGGACACACATCTCAACAAGACGCCTCAGTCGGGCAGACCATTGTCTTGCACGTGGAGAGCTCACGCGCTTTCTCCACGGACTACACGTGTTTCCCACGCAGGGACACGTCATCAGACAACTACCCACTTCCGAAAGAGTTGGTTCATCCACCCTCCGAAGATCACGTGGTAGTTGATCCAGGATAAAGATCACGTGTTGGTCTTCCCTACGCCACATAAGCCCTAGCAGTTATTTGTGTTGAACTTAACAATTCGGTCCAATGCAAAGTAATTGTTGGCCCTATGCTAAGGGCATATTATAAATACCCCATTTCACTAGAGAGTCAGGTATCTTATTCTATACACATTCTCCATGTACTCGCACTTTCTAACTCCCTTACTCATTTAAACATTATACTACCTTGCAGGTACACCTTCCCCTCCTCTACTACACCGGTGAACACAAGAGCTCACGACTCGTGATAGACGGTTAATTCTTTTTTGATCAGGTGAGATCATATATATATATATATATATATATATATATATATATATATATATATATATATATATATATATATATATATATATATATATATATATATATATATATATATATATATATATATATATATATAAAATTAAAAATTAAAAAACGTTTACATATTCAATATATTAACAATTAATCTTAAATTGATTTTTTTAATCATAAGTCTATTTGTTAGAATTTATCTTTTAAAAATAAATAAATATAATATCGCGAGTTTCAACTTAAATCTCTGCATTTGGTATTTTTCACGTCTACCAATTAAGCTGGATTAACGAGTCATCTGGAATTGCTTATAAAAAATTTATACTCAAAATAACATTTTTTTATTATAAATGTTTTGTTAATATATACATTTCTTTAAAATATTTGTAATTTAGTATGATATTATCTCAGCCTCTAAATATTATTTTAGTCTGAAATTTTTAATACAATCCTCTTAAAATATCATTTTTCTCCTTTATAAAATTATTTTAAATTTTTAACTGCATTAATTTTTTAAAACATACTATTTTTTAACCAACATCAAATAGAAATATTAACTAGATTTATTTTTTCAAGAGCAAATTTATCAAAATGATATCTATCTATTATTAATAAATTTAACATATTTCCAAAATCTTAACTCCAATAATATCGTCAAATAAATTTTATATACAGATAGAACAAAAATAATATTCTAGTAAACACCATTGAATAATTGTATAAGAGCTTTATTTCATCTTGGTACATTAAACTCCAAGATTTGCTTCATATTGTTGGTGATTTAAGATAAAGAATTAAATTTCCCATAAATTGTATTTCAAATATATATATATATATATATATATATATATATATATATATATATATATATATATATATATATATATATATATATATATATATATATATATATATATATATATATATATATATATATATATATATATATATATATATATATATATATATATATAATAGTTATTATTAGTTCATTTTCGTAACATTAAAAAATTAAGAATTAATTAATTTATATACAAAGTTCATATGTCATTTTTTACCTTGTGAGAAAAATAAAATAATCCCAATATATAAAAGAGACAGAAGTACAGATGTACTGTGCTTGTGTTTGAGTTGTGTTTTCAGTTATGTGTTGTGGCTTTATGCATCCGTATCCGGTGGATACGTATGGGAGGTTTGATTCTCTGTGACACTGCTTTTGTTTCTGATGCTCCTCTGTCCAATCAAATCATGACACCTAAGAGTTTTTTTGTGCTTTTCTTGTCATTGTGGGTCCATCTTTGTTTTGCTTTTCTTAGAGGCACGCATATAATAATAACCCATTTCAGTTTTCTTTGCCTATGATATTATATGAACTATTTTGTTTTCGGGTGAGGAAAACATCAACCATTGAACCTAGAATAAGGATCTAGAGTTAAATATATTTTTAATTTTTATAAATATCTCATATTTTATTTTTAATTTTTATAAAAGAAAGATATTTTGATCTATAGAAAATTTTTGCGCAGCAGTTTTAATCTTTGTTATTAAAATTTTAAAAGTTATTTAATTACTCTTAAATTTTTAAATTTTTGAATGATTTTTTTTATACCGATTAATATAAAATGTTTCTTTTTAAAATTATATAATTTTTTTAAGTGAGAAGGATTAACTATGATTTTTTTAAAAATTTAAAAGATAATGATAAAAATAATAAAAATTTTGAGTTATAAATTAAATTTTGAGTTTCTTTTTTTTCAAGAAACTTTTTATAACATTTTAAAAATATCTGCAAAATAATCATTCAAAAATACACATTGGTTTAACAGTAGATACTAAAATTACGTGCATAATTATTTCGTAGGGAGCAAAACACACTATTTTTTTATAAAGAGCAAAAATGAAATTTGATAATGTATAGGGACGAAAAACATATTTAACCATATATTATAATAGTGTTAAGAGGCGTGTCCGTCTGTCCGCTTTTTAATACACATGTAAAAATATAAATAATATATTCTTATTTAATATAATTTTAGATGGAAGTTATGTAAAAGGTTAATAATAGGAAGTTAAATAGGAGTTAATAGGAGGAAGTTATATGAAAAATGATAGTAATAGAAGTTATTGTGTAAATTATACATTAAAATAAGGGTAAAATTGGTAGAAAAATAGGCTACACCAAAACCAATTTTTGTCTTTATATATGTTATACATTATAGATTATAGATATGGACAAATTGATTGTTACGGTGTCTTTTGAATAACGAACTGTTAACTCAAATTTTCGACATAGATTTTATGAAAATTTAATAATTTTAAATATTGTTTAAATAACTTAGGTATTTAACTTAGGTTGAAATGGTTATTACTCTACCATGAAGTGAGAATTCGCATTCTTCTATATGGGATCTCCCTCGAATGATATTGATGACCTTGGTTGAGATTTCAGTCAGTTAGTTAAATATCAAGGATTTTGTTAGTTTTAAGACTCAGTGAAATTTAGAGTACCCAAAATATTTATTCTCCACGCAGTCGAATGAGGTGTAAGTAGATAAGATCAGACAGTTAGTTATCTGAGAACACGTGGAAGCTTGTCGAAGATGAAGGCTGCATGGAGATGAAAATGTAGCACAATTTGCTTAGTTGACTGTTGCAAACGGTTAAGTTAGGACTAGTATATATGTGGCGTTCACCTCTAATTTTAGGGGTTTGCATTTGTACACACGTTCTGTAAACTTAAAGTATATGTGTTTGGTGAGAAAAGAGTTGTGTGAATGTATGTATATGTGTTCCATTTTATAAATTGAAGTCTTTATTTTCAATTCATTTACTACTTTCCAAGTTATCTTTACCTTTTCTTTAAATTTCGACTTTTATGTCATGCATTTTAAATTTATAATTTTCACACAATATGTCTTGGGATCTTTTTGAGTTTAATTCCTTAAGTGAAATCAAACTTGTTTTTGTTTATCAAATTTCACGGTAAACAAATTGATATGTCCAGTGGGACTCTTTTATGTGAAAATTTTACATTTTTTTCTTTTAAAAAATCTTGCATAAGTTCTTCATTTGTGAAACTTCTCAAATTTGTGAGTGTGTATGAGATTTAGGAGTGGTAAGATAACCAAAAAAGACGTTAAAAAAACCAACGAGGAGATACGTTAGAAGAATGGTTAATCTCATACGACAATGGAGAACAACCATCCAACAACACGAGGGCAAGCACGGTCGTTGTAGGTTCAACTAAAATCGTTGCCTCCATAGCCAACAAGACGACCATACCGTCAACGATGGTCGTACCGTCGATTGTGCAGGAAGGGGCAATTTTCCCCCTCAATGACACAGAGTCACCCAGTGACTCAATGACCAATTATGACAAGTGATTTCAGGCCTTTTGCCACAAGCTTTACAATGCTTATGCCTAGTCGCGAACAACCTTATGGTATGCTGTTATACCCTAATTTTTACCCATAAGATCCCACCTCATTTGCATCTTCACAATGTATCAAGATCACAAACGTTGGTCCTCCTGCCC